CCCCCCCCACACACACACACAAACGTCTTAAGTATTGCGCTGGTCCTTACCAAATGTGGAGAGGAACGATATTAGATCACCCGGACGCTTTAATCTATGCTCAAATTGGAACTGATCAGACGAGCACTGCTGCATCACCCATGTATTGGAGTAAACCACAAAATATGGCCTTTTGCGGACGTCGGCTAGTCTGAAAAGAATCTTCATGCCTGTTATTGCTGGGAGTAAGTTCGATTCCAGATTTTGATCTGCAGCACCTTCTGAAATAATAATTTGGGGGTGGTATGAACAATTCATTTGGAGGGGATGTCTGTCAGTTAGCTATTTAACCCAGCCGTACCTCGTGTTTTACTATCGTATCCATACGACGTGGGGTACTCTGTGCCATCCACCACTTTCCAAAGAGGAAATTAACTCATTAATGCGATCCATACGCTTTGCATAGCAGTCTGTCAAAATGAATTTTTGAGAAATACTGAAAGTTTCAAAGAGATCTTCACACTAGAAGTATTCTAAAATGTGAAGAATACAACCCCGGGGGATACAAAATGACAGGGTTAAGGAAGGGAGAAACCATTAACAAAACTGTACGAAAATGAGGAAAACTTGGAAGAAGTTCGTGCGTCGGCCCGCGAAAACGTCAAAGAAGTCTATTCGAAGACGTACCCGTGAATGTAGCTTTTCAAAGTCCTCGACTTTCAGAATCTTGAAGCATGGTTTTGAAAATGAAGCCTTTGATAACATGTAGGCCTAACTGTCTACTAAGGAATGACCCTAGACCAAGAAGGTTATAATCCTTGCCCAAGACAATGCTTTGGAGAGAAAGCCTCTGTGCTCAGTGGCCATCACTTGAAGACACAAACCATTTTCTTTTAAAACCAAAATATTAAATTCTTTGGGGCCTCGCAAATTCAATTTTCTAAGGAATGTGATAGGTACATAGTAAACCAAGCCTTGAGTTGACGGTATCTTTGAGGGCACAGACCAACTATACAAATGAGTGAGCCGAACGTTGACCAATTTCAGAGAGCAGAAAATATCCAATGAGCAAGCGCTAGTTCAGTGATTGCTAACCTTGGCGATATCGCCTGCAAATGGGCAATTTGGTAATTTTCATGGCGGTGGGGGATCTTTCGGGTAGTGGCAGGTGATTCTTAATGCCATGCTTGGAAATATACAGGTACATTTAGGTGAGCGGTGCGAACATTTTAACCTTTTAAAGCTGGCAAAATTGGCGCTGGGGGAAAAAATTGACAAGAACTGCGCTCATAAATCGAGATATTTCTCAGTGTCTTGTGATTTCTAGTTTTTTCTTGCCTGCTTGCTTGCTTGTTTGCTTGTTTGCAGGTTTGCTTGCTTCTTCTGGCTTTCGCTTGCAGTGCTCTTTATGTTCTGATGCATGAGCAATAGATCTAGTTATGTTCTCTCAACAGAACAACGGGTTGTTGACAGTGTGCAGCATTCTGCTATTTCATCATTGCTACACATTTTTCTTTATCACTCTCTTTGTGGTGTCACGAGAACAGGGGCGTGATAAAAGGCGTTTTGCAAATCATTGACTCTCAACTGAAGGTGATGAAAAACATACTAACAATGATGTTGATGACGTTGCTTGATACTTTCCCGGTTGCAATTTCAATAAATGTGAGAAATTCAAGAACAACGTAAATAAAGCATTTGACAATTGCAAAATACATGCATTCCATAGTTTGAACTACTTTTTCACAACGAAAAACAAAAAGATGGAGGGAGGGGGGTAGGGGGGGGATATTTTTTTCTCTTCGTGAAAAGGGGGGAGGAAAGGGGGAGGGGGAGGAAAGGGGGAGGGGGGTGTAAAGGAAGACAAAAAGTAAAACTAAGACGAAGAGGAAGAGAAACACTAGTAACGAGAGGGGAAAAATCTGACTGCTGCTCGCTTCCTCCCTGAAAAATCGATAGTATTTGTGGACTGACAGAAGCTGAGATTGCCCATCTCAACTAGTGGAGAGGAGATTTTGAGGAGAAATCTGAACTGTCTGCATGGAAGATTAAGAAATGGACACCTTTAAATATCTGCAGGAAAGGAAGAGGGAGAGAAAGGAGAGAGAGAGAGAGAGAGAGAGAGAGAGAGAGAGAG